GAGAGAGAGAGAGAGAGAGAGAGAGAGAGAGAGAGAGGAGAGCTGTTGGACAGCAGCTACCCCAACCTTCAGAGACTGGGCCTCTTGCTTTCCACATCAGCTCCCTGGATACCTGTACACTCTATTTGCTCCTCACAGCACGTATTACCCAGTATGGACTTGTCTGCTTTCTTGCCTCGTTCCCCATTTGCCTGTGGACTTCCAGAAGGGATATATCTTACTACTCTTCATATTCTTGGTACATAGCACCTGCTATATAGCAAGTGCTTCATGGAATTTTATTAATACTATGAGTGAATGAATGAATATGTGTGATCTCTCTCACTAATTAAATTATAGGCTTCATGAAAGCCAGGGCTGTGTCTTTTTCCTGTTGCTTCTGGTACATTTCCCATTTAGGGATCTGCTGTGGTTTGAACTCTCTCTCCCTTAAAATTCATACATTGAAACCCAAACCCCAGTTTCTCAGAATGTGACTATATTTGGAGACAGGACCATTACAATGAGGTAGTTGAGTTACAAAGAGGCCTTTAGGGTGACTCCTAATCCAATGTGACTGGCATCTTTATAAGAAAGGGTTAGGACACAGGATCAGATACCAGGAATGTGCACAAACAGAGGAAAGGCCATCTGCAAGCTAAGGAGATATATCTCAGAAATAACCAAACTTATCAGCTCCCTGATCACAGATTTTTAGACCCCAGAACTGTGAGAGAATAAATGGTTTAAGCCCCCAGGGCTGGGATGTTTTGTTATAGCAGCCCAAGCTGACTAATACAGACACTTTCGTACCCTCATCTCCAGACCTAGAGCCCACTCAAGGTGTGACATGACCAGTGACCAGCCTGTCACAGTTATCACAGCTAGAAGCACTCCTCGTCATTCAGACTGCACCCATGTATCCACATTGCCAGTTCACAGGTGAGCCCTACCAGGGATGGTGTTATCCAGGAGAAAGCCCAGAAATCCTCCAACAAACATGTCTGTGGTCAGCAACACCTGGATGACCTGGTCCAGCTGGAGAATGCCTATAATGAGACAAAAGTGACAGGTTCACAGGACCCTGAGTCCCTGCTGGCTCCACAACCAGAGTGGCAACTGTGTGGGGGACACAGCGGAGTGACAAAATGGAGAGGTGAGGAGCAATCACCTGTCTGCAGCTTCTCGGGGTTCTTCTTCACCCAGTTGGGAATGGTGAGGCCATAGTAAATGGAGAAGCCAAAGACAAAGAGGTTCCTGGATGAGTTCATGTCCACGTACTGCAGGAGGAAGGCCCAGATAGAGGTGCTGAGATCATTCCTTCACGACCTTTCAGAAGGTTGGACATCTCTGGCTATTTCTCTCTTCCATTTGGGAGCAGTGTGGTTCCAGGCCAAGGATTCCCTTCTCCTCCCCAGCCCCTATCCCATTCTGCCCATCTCCATCCTCTGGGCTCCTGCTACTTTTCTGCGGCAACTTTCCCATCTCACCTGCAGATTGGAGATCCCCACAGCACTGATGATCCCGAACATGACAATGAACATGCCCCCGAGTAGTGGCAAACACAGCCCCGATCTTCCCAAAAACACCCATCAGGAGCAACACGAAGCCTGCTGTGACGATCACCATCCTGCTCCCCACCTGTGGCAATCAGGGAGAGGGTGATGGAGAATCCGGCAGGCCAGACATCCCAGAGGCCTTGTTACAGGTCACCTTGAGCATTGCTGAGATGGACTTTCAGAAACAGGGCCCCAGAACATACTTTATACCCTCTGCTCCCAAATGGGGTTGGAGAGAGAGAAAATGATGGCATGATTGGGGCCCAGCTTCTGCCCTCACTTCTCCACTCTGTCACTCTCATACCTGTCTTCAAGTGCTGGACCAAATGCTCATCCCCTAGGAAGCCCGCACATGAGGGGATTAGTCTCTCTGGAGTGGCAGTGGCCCTGTGCTTAAGAATGGGGGTTTGAGAGCCAATCTCAGCCCTGCTTCTCACTGACAGCTGTTACCTGGTTTGCATAGAGATCCCCGAGTGACAAGGAGTCTTGGAATGCTAAAGAAATGTGTTTGGCTACCTCCTTACAACTGCTATTAGATCTTGAAATAAAACAGTTTCTACAAAGGCTTAAAAAATAGCTCACCCTGCGGTGAAGATCATGGACCTTGGTCAACATCCTCCCATCACATAGCTGATCTCAATGCTGGGGCACACAGCTACCACCCTGTTGTCACTACCAATGGTTGTGCTAATCAGGGCTCACAACTAGGGTTTGGGTGACAACTTGTATCAGTGAGGCAGAAATGACCTCTGAAAACAATTCTGTATGATACTGCAGTGGTATACATGTGTCGTTATACACTTGTCTAAATCTGCAAGATGTACAACACCAGGAGTGAACCCTAATGTAAATTGTGGATTGTGGGTAGTGATGATGATGTCAGTTCATCAACCATAACAGATGTACCGCCAGAGTGGCGGAAGGCCATTATGCCTATGTGGCAGAAATGGGTCTCATTATCTCTCACTCATTTTAGCTGTGAACCTAAAACTGGTTGGAAACAAGTCTTCAAATAATGACACTCCAATTTGGGGGATTCTATATCATTCTTGGAAGTTAGGGCTATATTACAAATATTCTCATCCTCATAAATCCAGTGTTGATGAATATATTTAGATAGTTCTTGAATCTGTTTCTCATTCCCGTGTACCTACCCCCAGACCCTAACAGATACTATAATATAGTTTCAGTCTTGCAAGATGAAAAAGTTCTAGAGATATGTCATAACAATTTGAATATGATAAACACTACTGAATTGTATACCTAATAACAGTTACCAGAGTAAATTGTATGTTTAGTGCTTTTTACCACAATTAAAACCTTTTGAAAAGATACTCCAGCCTCAACTAAAGTCCATCAATGCAGTGATAAAGTAGCAGATTATACACTTGCCTATTTTATTCTTTCCAGGCAAAACGTTATTTATTTAACTGTCTTCATTAGAAATTCTTACCACATCAAAGAACGTTTTGTTTTCTTTACAGCCTTGACAATTAGCTGTGAGAACAGAGGCATGACTACAAGCACCATGGATAGATGTGTCGGGGTCAACCCATGTCCTTTGCACATGCCACTAGTCTCCTTTCCCAATCTTACTACTGCACACACTTTGCATACAGCCCTGGGCCGTTTTAGTCTCAGGAATGAAATATGGCTGGCAGCAGGACATCCTACAGAACTGACAGGAGAATTCTGGCCTTTAATCTTATATCCCCCAAGACTTGGAGAGAATCAAGAAGTTGTGGGAACTCATTGCTGGAGAGGCACAACACGGGGCAGTACCTCAAAGGGCCGCCAGGGGGTGCGCGAGTCCATAAAAGCGAGTGGTCTTAGCACCTTCACCTCTTTCCCAGTTGATGGGTCTTTTGCTTGATGTGTAGCCTTGTTTTCATCTATGTACCTTTATTTCCTACTTTCACCCTTTCCTCTAATGACCTTAGCTTATAAATGATTTCCAGAAAAAAAGGCCTTTTTTTCTTTATTGAGATATTTTTTGTTGGCATGAGATTTATTCCATTTAGTGGGAAAGGAAATATCTGCTGCTTAGTACTTATGTAGCACTGTACCATATTTCTGCATGGGTTAATTATCCTCCTGTGGAAAATGTTCCCCTCACTTTCATGAATGGCTTTGAACTCTTACAGAGTGGGTGTCATGGAACATAGGACTTGCTGTAGGGTTGGGTGCTGGCTCAAACTTTTGCTCACAGATTTTATCTCCAGCTGTGCCAGAGGTCATACAGGGCACAGAGGAAGATAGATCTGATGCTATAAAGACTCAGTGCCTTCAGGATGCACATCAGAGCCACTGAGGGAGCCATAAGACAGGGCAAGTCAGGGTGTGGGGGGAGAAGGTGCTGTATTTTTTCCTTGGCTCACAGGACTTGCTCTGGGACCACTGCCAGAATTCACTGAAACATATGGAAAGCAACAAAGAAACACTATGGTTTTCTAAGTCACTTTGTTTTTTGGCAGCAGGGATTGAACTCAGGAATGTTTACCCACTGAGCCACATCCCAGCTTTCTTTTATGTTTTTATTTTAAGACAAGTCTCACTAAGTTGCTTAGAGCCTTGTTGTTGCTAAGGCTGGCTTTGAACTTGATATCCTCCTGCCTCAGCCTTTCTAACCACTGGGATTATAGGCTGTGCCACCGCACCTGGCTCTACGTCACTTTAGAAAACATCATTCTCAAGAGTTCTTGCTGATCTAATTGATCTATAGTGTAGAAAATGGGGAGCCATGAGAAGTAGATGGGCAAGATCCTGAGAAGACAGGATGGAAGGCACTACTTTAGCATCCAGGCGGGAGATGATCAGGCTGCGGCACTGGGGAAGATGAAAGGAGACAGGAAGGGGGCCATGGGGAGAAATCAGAACCAACAGGTGAGCAAGAAGCTAAGGAGGACATGCCAGTGGGGTGAAAAGAGACAAGGACGGCAGGAGAAGTCAGATAGGGCATTCGTTGGGCTTCCCAGAAGTCACTGTGTGTGAAGTGCCTTGGGGACATCAGGAGGGGCTGCCATGCACAGTGGATCACTCAGGTCTATAGGTAAGGAAGCCCCCACCTAAACTTCAGAAAGGAAGGACTCTCTCCAGTACCCACCAGTGACAGAATAGACTTTTTGCCTGTGGATGGCCACAGTCCAACAAAGTCAAGGACAGAAAGTGGAATCATGGGCCCTGCAGAGGCACCTGTCATAACCCTCAAACCTGTGAATACATTGCCTCTATTGGCAAAAGCGACTCTGCTGATGTGATAACTTTAAGGACCTGGGGATGGGAGAGTAGCCAGGTAAGCCCAGTCTAAGTCCACTTGTTCTACAAAGCAGAGCACCTTTCCATCTGTGGCAGGGGAATACGGAGAAAGTGGCCACAGCCCAATCATTGCAGATGCTGGATGACAGAAAAGGACAGGGCATGGGTCCCCCCAGAGCCTCCAGAGAATGGCCCAGCTGATGTCTCCCTTTTAGCCCACGAGGCCAGTGTCCAAAATCTGGCCTCCAGATCCATTAAGATAGTAAGTTTGGATGTTCATTATCTCTAGCAATTAGAGAAATGCAAATTAAAACCACACTGAGATTTCATCTACTGTCTTTCCCATTCTCATCCCCCTTCCTCCCCCCACCATTCCCCCTGTCCAGTCCAATGAACCTGCACTTTCCTCCACCTCTGCCTATTGGGAGTCAGCATCTGTATATCAGAGAGAACATTAGCCATTTTGGAGATTGGCTGATTTCACTTAGCATGATAATCTCCAGTTCCATCCAGTCAGACTGGCAATTATCAAGAATATGAGTAACAATAAGCGTTGGCATGGATGTGGAGCAAAGAAGTTTACTCATATATTGCATATGGGACTGCAAATTGGTGCAACACTCGGAAAAGCAGTGTGGCGATTCCTCCAAAAACTTGTACTGGAACCACCATTTGACCCAGTTATCCCACTCCTTGGTGTATGCCCAGATGATGTAAAATCTGCATACTGTAGTGATGTGGCCACATCAATGTTCATAGCAGCCCAATTCACAATGGCTAAGCTATGGAACCAACCTAGGTGCCCCCCAATAGATGAATGAATAAAGAAAATGTGATCCACGTACACAATGGAATATACTCAGCCTTAAAGAAGAATGAAATGATGGCATTTGCTGGTAAATGGATGGAACTGGAGATTATCATGCTAAGTGAAATCAGCCAATCTCCAAAATGGCTAATGTTCTCTCTGATATACAGATGCTGACTCCCAATAGG